CCTCTCAACCTGTAGCAGGCTTGACGAAGACATCAAAGTTTGATGACCTGGCAGACACGCCAGCTTCGGGCGGCCATGCCCAAGAAGAGGAACGATCTCCAGCGCCGGCCGCGCACGACGGCAGGCTGCCGACTATTTCCTAGGAGCGCACATCATGGAAACGCGGTATGTCGAGCTCCAAGAAGAAACGGAACTGCTCGAGACTCCCCCGCGGGAATCCTTGCGCTCTGCGCCCGCCGAGATGCCCGCAGACAACCGCGCGCCCGCGGCTGTGGCCAGCGATGAGCAAGGACACTTGCGAGAGATAGGTTGTGCTCGAGACCGCGGTGCCGACGAAACCTTCCTGGCGCATTGGGCCGCAGATTGCGGCGCGACCTATGATCTCGATTCGGACGAATGCGGTCAGTACGGTGAGCCGTGCTTCACAACTGACACGGCTAAAGCTGTTCTGCCAGAGCACCAGCGCGAGTCGCTGCGCATCGACCGAGTAACCGCAACGCGCGTGCATGTCTCAGCCGCAGCCAAAAGAGCCGCGGTCGTCAAAGAAGACGGCCTCTTGGCGAAGGCAGAAATCCCATCACTTAGGATATCCAAAGCCTTGTGCACAGATCTTGAGATATGGCATGACAACAAATGCTTTAAGATGCCGGGCAACAGAAATCAGATCAACATCATGACATTCAGGTTCGTGCATCAGTGGGAAGTTGTCAAGAACGGCAGACGCGACATGGAACGAACTATACGACTACGTCTTGTCTTCCGTGGATTCATGGGCGTCGAAGCATTCAACGTATAACCTTCTCAGGCACAGCTCGCCGAGCAAGCTAGAGACTGCCCGCTAGCGTCGCCGCGCGCAAGAAACAGTGGATCATGGCACCTATGGATGTCGACGAGGCTGTGTCAAAGGGCCTGACCGATCGTGAGCCGGCAGAGGCCGCTGCGGAGAAAGAGCGCGCGGTCTGTTTTACTCTGCCACCTGGCTCAGTCTCGGCGTTGCGCGCGCTGCCCGGCTTCTCGTCCAATCGCGAATCCAAGCATTGCCTGCAGTGCCTGCAGCAGGGCACAGGCACCAGAGATGCCCCATAGGGCATTCTCATTGGGGCTCAGGACCATCGCGCGAGGCTTTGGGCTAAAACCCGCTTCATACGATGCAGATTTCGAAACAAGCCCAAGCCTCCTAACAGCCAAGCACGTTGATGACATGAACGTGACAGGAGCGGAGGACGCAATCGACAAATATGTCAAGTGTGTAGAAAACACGTCCGGCACGTGCAGACTGAACAGACACTGCTGTGCCAGCAGCGCCGCGCGCTGCACAGAGACCGAGGACGGCCGCGCCCAGCTAGATCAGGGTGAAGATATCAAACCGCATCGCCTTATACAGCACCCAGAACTTACGGGCGCCGTAGCCGAAGAAAGGGAAACGCAGATAGCATCCGGCATGTTCGCCAGTTTCCACGGCGCATTACCGCGTGCATTAATCGCCCAGGCATGGTCGATGGCACGCGTGGCGCCCTGATAACAAGCGCAGGAGCCCACGAACCTCCAAGCGCGAAGACCCAATGCTGCCGCGCGCAAACTCCAGCAAGGTTCAAAACAACATGCAATACATCAGATCATGATTTTGACAGGAGAAGTGGACCTTCATAGTGACCCGGGGGATTGCCGTCTTAACCGGGACGAAGATGACGAGGCCAAGGGGCATGGCATCCGAGGGGCCGGCCTTCTATTGCGCGGACACGCGCCTAATGGCAAGGCAGTAGTACATGTGATCGACGCGCGCTGCAAGTCACATCGCATGCAGGCGCGTCCCAGCTATTTAGTTGAAGCCCTAACAGCAGCTCGCAGTCTTGAAGACTGCTACCCTACCATACTTACGCTGCGCGAGCTTAAAGCTGCACCCCTAGCGCCTACACGGCTTAAGAACATGCTAGGATTGGGTGATATCAGCATGAAGGCCATCCTTACCACGGGCGCTGAGTCGGTCTTGAAATCCTCGTCCAGTAAGGACTTGAAGAAGCCGACTGACTGCGCCCTGCTGGGACACATGAGCAGGATATTGCAAATTATGGACCGAGGCATCGCTCATGGCGCACAGTGGTGCGATGCACGAGACATGGCCGCAGATGGCCATGCCAAGGGGCGCATCGATCGGGCGCTGCTGCTGCAACTTATGGAGGGCAACCAGTCTTTCAAACATGAAGTGAAGAAGTACAGACCCTACCTAGGCAATAGAGCGAGCACCAGGGCAAGGGCGCCCTATTCAGGGCTGGCGGATAGGCGCGCGGCTGAATACCGAATTATTCAAATGTAGTCACCCAGGCCCAGCCAGGGGCAGATCGCGCCTACAATTTTAGCACGGTCACGGGCACTTACTTCCTTTTTTGAGGGGGCCTGACTGTTCGGTCGGGTGCCCTCACGCTTCGCACGCTTTGACGGCTGGCATTTGGCCAGTCGCCCCTGTTAGTTTTCTGCGGATGGTCGCGCGGTCTTGCCCGTGACCATCCATGGTGATCTGCGGCCGTTCAAGGTGATTTGCCCTTGATCGGCCCTAATGAGTTGAGCTGTTTTTACTTGCCTTAATTCGGCACTGTTGGGATGTTGTGGAAACCACAAAAACTCCCCAGCTGTCTTTTTTACATGATCTAATTTACTTATGGCTCGGATCCAACGTTCGGCCCCTCCTCTCCCGACTTTACACAAGTTCTAAGGTGGGGCTATATAGCGACCGCTATATCCGCCGCAATCTTGGCTCAAGGCTGCGCAGCCTTATTTGCTAGTCATATGACAGTGTGAATATATCTGGTTCGTTGTATCAGTTCAAGGCCACGTCTATCCATGACCCGCTTGGGGCCTCGTGGGGACCTCTTGGGCCGTCTTGGGGCCATCTTGGGCATCTTGGAGCGCTCTTGGGCCGTCGTGGAAGCCTCTTCGACCGTTTTTGGGGCCTCTGCAAGGGATTATGGCTTCAGGTACGCGAGCATCGGGTAATGTACGAGGGATGATGGTCTCGGGGACGCGAATCTCATATATGTATATATATATATATATGTATTATGCGCCCCACGCCTGCGCAGGAATTCAGAGCGCGCGATCCGGGCGTGGTAGCCGGGCGGTTTGGCCCCCCCCTTCGCGCGGACTTCAACCGCTTGCAGTGGGAAGCGAAAGTCAGGATTAGAACAGTGGAGATTTGAAACTGTAATTGGTGCAGGTAGCAGCGCGCTTCGGCCTACAGCCTGGTAGCCCCGCAAAAGGGACCGGCGGATATCGCGCGGGGGTATGTAGACACTACGTAAGTACATTACGTTATTGAAACATGAATGAAGCACGTGAAATCACAACGTCGATAGATTTCGTTCCTGGAAACCTCCGAGAAGGCTCCAGCTCCTGGAGTGCTCTTGGGGTGTTCCTAGGATGCTCCTGGGGTGTTCCTCGGGGTTCATGAGGGGTTCCTGGACTGCTCCCGGTTATTAGAATTATTGCAGCGAGCAGGCACATAAGTTTCGCAGCTTGTTGCCCCCCCGAAAGGCCGACTGATTATTCTGACATTTTTGTAAACACTGATACGTTTTGCTTTGTGCAGCTACCTCAACCGAAAAGGAACCACATTGCCCAAACCTTCAGTTCATGCGTCAGAGCTGCGTAGGCAAACGCAAGCGGGCTTTGACTTGTTGAGTTGGCGCCCGTTTTGGCACCGTGTGCACGTTCACTTTGACGTCTTCTGCAAGTGGCAGTTTTGACGTGTATATCAAAGTCGAGGTGGGGCGGTTTGTAGAAACCCTTGTGTTACTGAGAATGTGGTTGCTCAAATTTCAAATAACTATTTGCAGCCATCCGGCAGCTACCTTGCTTACGTTCAAAGGAGTTCCCATTCTTTTTTGTAATGAACTGCGCTCTCCTCATCAGTATCGTTCTGGAAAATTTGTACCCCCTGTCCTCCTGTTGATCCTCCTCGTGTCGTCTGTCCTGTCGCCCTCGCCCCCGGGTCCCCCTCCAGTCTTCAGGCGGGCGCAAACAACCCGCGTCCTACCCCCCCCCCCCTAGTCAAGCCCTGCTGGGGAGGACGGGGCGAGGGAGCCAAGTTCCAGCTTCTCAGAGCCGTCCGCATCGTGAGTCCTCGTGGGGAGGATGAAGATGGTGAGGTGGGGGGAGGGGAGGGGAGGAGGAGCAGGAGGAGGAGGATGAGGTGGGAGGAGGAGGAAGAGGAGGAGGAGGAGGAAGAGGATGAGGAGGACCAGTGCAGACCCAAGACCCCTTAACGATGTCGTAATAAACCCTCCCTCCAAGTTCCCTCTGCATAGGCTCCTATGGGAAGAGCCCCGCTGGAAGACAACAATTTGACAATCTTCGAACGTTCGAAAGCATCATTCGTGGGACTCCAGCGCCGCGAGTCAAAGTTATGTTGCGACCTGACGATCCTACACCGCGCCAGAACACCATTCCTGAGACGCCAACACTACGAATCGACATGACTTTCGCGCCCTGACAATACTAAATCGTACCCAAACACCATTTTAAGGACGCCAACCGCAATACTGTGTGAAACTGATGTGCGCCGTTAAGACGGCCATAATTTGAAAACCGACAGCCATCCATCTGTGAAATTCTTGCGAATTTTTGGAAGACGAATGTGCGCGGCGCTACGGCGAGAGCCACATTTTGAAAATCGCCCGCCTTCCGTCCGACAACTGTTTGCAAAGCTTGCAAGTCGAATGTGCGCGGAGCTGATGCGACACCCAGATTTTGAAAGCCGACCGCCCTCCATCTAAGAAATTGTTGCACATCTCACGTTTCAGGGTCATGAATGGTGAGCACGTCTCAGGCGAAACGCCTGGCTCACCCTACCGATCCGTCTCGGGGTGCGACAGGGAGGAGTAGTTCATAAGGAAAAAAGACGGTGGAGGAAGAAGGACAGAGGAGGACAAGGAGGAGGAGGAGGAGGAGGAGGAGATGAAGGAGGAGGAGGAGGAGGAGTGGGGAACCCCCTCTCCCGCCGGCAGGTGCCCCGGCACGCGGCCTGAAACGCCCTGCGTCCTGGCCTGCTGCAGCGGGCGGCCCCCGCGGCAAGGCGACGGCACCGGTGCTGGCGGTGGGCGGGGGACTTCTCAAGGGAGGAAAAGCATCCCGGACCCGATAAAGAATATGGGCGTTTACTGAACAGCCCTGCCCTGTTCGATTCTTTTTTGGGGTGCGTTTACTAAACGGCTTCGCGTGTCGGGGTGATTCTTATGAGGGTGGATATTCACGCCGGAGGTGCTGGCGATGTGCAAGGGGATTTGGCCGAGGATAATGGTCAGGAGGGCTTGCTTCGGTCGGCTACACGTAAGAGTGGCACTTCGCCGCAGTGAGCTCAGGTACGCGGCTTTCAGGAGGCGGGGGGGGGGCCAAACCCAAGCGCGCAGGCCGCCATTGTCGCATCGCATGCGCTGATCGGCAAGCCGCGCACCAAATGTCATTCTTGCCGAGACTCACCCTTGCGTGTAGCCGACTCGATGGGAACGCCTTTTGAAGACATCTCGACCGAGGCTTACGGGCATATTCAGCATCTTCAAGGCCGTTTTCGGGCCTCGAGGGGCAGTCAACAAAAAAAATCTGGGATGAAAGAAAGGTTCCAGGGATTGAATGTAATCCCATGGTATCTAGATTTCAGCAAGGCTTTGTTTATCCTGGCTGTCAACGGCTATGACCGGCTGTTATCGTCATTTACATGCCCACGGATGGAGAATGGAGATCCACCTACGCTTTCATTAGCGCGTCTGCATGGCGTCCGCACGCGCGTTCCATTACACCACTTGCGCATTTCCTGCTTTCGCGAGGAGCTCCTCTACAGCACCAATGAATGCAACTGTGCGGCGTCTGCGCGTTCACTTTGGCGCGCCCCGCAGACATTTCGTGCTCTCGCAGGGAACCCGGACCTGCGCCCTCAGTGGGTGTGTCCGCACGGCTTCTTCGCTTCGGTTTCGATACGCCCCTCCTTTGTTTCCTGCTTTCTGGGGGGTTCCATCGGCGGCCTCGGCAGGGATGCCCGCATGGCGCCCCCGCGCTCGCTTCGGCGCACCGCCCGGCCGGACCGCGCTCCAATAGGGAGCACCTATGGCCCCGTCGAAGGTGCTCGCGCGGCGCCGCCGCGCCCATGTTGGCACGCACCTGTGCGGCAATTCGAGGGCATGCGACTTTGTTGACGATGCCCCCGCGTCTCCCTGATGCGAGGACATCGTCAGCAATGTCGCACAAGACAGCCTGGGACGATATCATGCAATTTTGGGCAGAATATTTCCTGCTTGTTGTGTTAGTCGCGCAGGTTTTTTCACACCAGTGCCAGCCGACGACCGCCTAGCCAGTCTCTTATGACGCTTTCGCATGGCTCTCTGGAGGGAGCCCTGGCCGGCCTCATCCCCCATTTGTGGCGCACCCGGCCTTGGAATCTTTTCCTCTTTCTCGTTTGTCCGTTTTCCCATGTTCCTCGTCGTCGTCTTAGGAGGAGGAGGAGGACGACGACGACGACGAAGACGACGACGACGACGAAAGTGTGGAACATACCCGTGGAGCCCCCACCAGGCCTAACATCGTACCACTCAGTCCTTTGCCTCTTGGAGCTGGCAGATCCGGAATAGGTCGCCCCCCGCCCTCGGAGACCGGGCAGGCCCCTCGTTTTGTGTGGGGGAGGGGGGAGGAGAAGGAGGATCGGCCCACCGAAGGGGCGCAGTCGCGGCAGCGCGACGCGCTGCGGCCCTGTGAAAGAGCCCTTGCCTGGGTCGTTGGCCGCGCCTCCTGGGATGAGTCCTGAGGGGCCTGGTGGGATCTCCCAGAAGCCAAAGCATGATTGGGGATCATGGGCACCGCCAGCGTAACCATCGAGGCCACATGTTGGCACACTGGTTGCACGGAACACGACTGACAGCAACGAGTCTGATGTTCGAGAATCAGTGGGAGGACGCGTGGACGCATGAGATGTACAGCACTGGTGAGCAGAGACAGATCGATTACATTTTCGTGGAGACGAAGAATTCCGATGACGTCTCGCATGCGTCGGTGTTCCGACCACCGGGCCATTTTTGCCAAGTTGCGGACAATTGCACATTCTCGTCCTCGACACCGCCAGGCCAAGATCATGCGAGGGTGGAAGCCAGCCCTCGACGAAAACGGAAAACCTTCCTTGTACCACGGTTTGTTGACGGATGGACTCGCGGAAGGCCACGCGAACCTGTCAGATGTGAATGCTATAGTTGTGCAGGCTGCCCAGAATGGTGGGGAGACAGCTGCGACGCATCGGAGTAAACATAGCGATGAAGTGGTCGAGCTTTTTGCTGCGAGGCGGCAGGAACATGACCCGGAGCGAAGGAAATCTTTGTCCAAGCGTCTGTGGAGAGCCCTCCGGGCAAGCAGACGACGACGCTACGATAAAGAGATCCGCGCGGCAGCTGAACGAGGTCAAGGGCTACGCAGCCTCCAACGGATCCAACAGCGACGCGCTGGCGTAGAGACAACCATTTCGATCAGAAACCTGGCAGGAGAGCTGGTTACAGATAGTGCAGGCATCGCGGATGCGTTCGCTTACTTGTATGAGGACTTGTACCGGGATGCACAAACAGCTGGAGAGGACGAGCGGCATTGCGCACCCCAAAATATCCCGCCGTTCACAGCTGCGGAGGTCACTGCGGCTTCGAAGCGAATGGGGAGAGGGAGAACGGGCGCTGCTGACGGACTGATTGCGGAAATGCTTAGCACAGGGCATGAGGAGCTGATGAGCACCATTGCAGCATACTTTACAGATGTTCTCGATGGGACCCTAGACGCGTCCAGCGAGTGGAAGGTCGCGCGGCTGTCTGTCATCTTCAAGAAGGCCGCAAGATATGATTTGAAGAATTACAGGCCCACTTCAATCATTCCGGTCATGGTGAAGCTGTTCAGTTTCGTGTTCTAGGACCGCATCAAGGACAGCGTGGAGAAGCAGTTGCGGGAAGAGCAATCTGATTTTCGTAGTGGTAGAGGTTGTGACGATGCTTTGCACGCTTTGATCGGGACGGAAAAGAGGGGGGTGATGACTAGGGGGGGGTGGATTTCATGGCGCGGGCCATGATTTTTCCTCAGATTTCGTGGCGCCTCTTCTTGTTTCATTACGTCCCAGGCCCCCCCGCTGGGCCGCGCACGTGCCGCCGGTCATGATTTGCACCCCCCCCTCTTGGACACCCCCATCTTGGCCGCTCCCGATTTGAGAATGGTAGAGGAGAAGTCTGCGGAGTGGGGGGAAGCGCTGTGGGTGGCTACCCTGGATGTCGAGAAAGCTTTCGACAAGGTGCATCATGCGCAGCTTTTCGAGGCACTCATGTTGTCAAACGTGGATGCTGGAGTGGTGCGGGTTCTTCGAAAGCTCTACAAAGACATGTCCGCATATATGCAACTATCTCCGGGCATAGAGAGTCGCCACTTCGCGGTGCAGCGGGGCGTACGTCAGGGAGACCCGCTTTCGCCCGTGCTGTTCAACCTGGTGATGGTGTCAGTGCCGGGGGAAGTCGACGCACTATGGCAGCGACGAGGATACGGTACAGCGATTGGGCGAGCGCTCGACGGGAAGCGCTTGACACACGTTGGTTTCGCGGACGACATGACACTCGTGGCTAGGTCATGGACTTCCTTGAAGCGCATGGTCGTCTCTGTGCGAGATTCACTGTTGAAGCGTGGCTTGAAGTTACACCCTACGGAATGCAAGGCGCAGACAAATCTCCACGATGTTCGACAACGAGGCGATGTAGCGCTAGACCACGGCTTCTCGCTGAAGGTGTTGGGGGAGGGAGAGCCCTTGGAAGTGCTCGGCACGATGCTTCCGCTCGCAGACGTGACCAAGGCAGAGCTGGAGCACCGGGTGGCGGTGGGGTGGAGAAAGTTCTGGGTCATGAAACGGTTGTTGATGAACGCAGATCATTTTACCAAGGAGACTGAAGTTGTTCGCTGCGGCCATCTGCAGTAGTGTCCTTTACGGCGCGGGATCGTGGACGCCGCGCGCGGACGAGACGCGCTTCTTGACCACTGCTGAGAGACGGATTGTTGCGACGCATATGCGGCATTCGACGTCGCCCTGACGAGCCACGGCACGACTGGGTTCGCCGGGCCACAGGACGGGCGAGGGCCAAGGTGCACGCCGCGGGCGTGAGGGACTGGCCAACGGCGCACGCAGCGAGGAAGTGGTCTTGGGCTGGACACGTCTGCAGGTCAAGTGCGCGCACGTGGGTCTGGAGAGTGACGTTTTGGCGTGACTCCGCGTGGACGCGGGATGCAAGGCGCGAGGGCCCGGGGAGGCTCATGCGGCCATCGCGCGGCAGACACATGAAATGGGAAGACAAATTTCGGCGATATGCTGTTCATATTGGCGGGCGACGCTGGACACTGATGGCGGGCGACAGGGCGGCGTGGCTCGCCAAAACTCAAGATTTTGTGACGTGGTCGACGGCATAACTGGAGCGGCCAGCCCGGCCAGCCCTACTGTAGTCTTACTGCATGAGCTCGCGCGTCGGGCCTCTTCGGAGACGCGCACACTTGCCACGTGCCACTTGGCCGAGACGTTCGGGGGCTAGAAATTCGCTGATCGTCGCACTGCGTCCATACCACTGTCGGTGCCCACGCCGCTCAACACAGTCCGAGACAGGCACATGCAGTTCTCCAAACCTTGGGTCAGCGCAACTGCCTACTCTGGCATACTACTTCGAGTACCAAATCCTGTCACTTATGATCAGCACAGAAGGAGGCGGGTGCGCAGACTTACCTCCCACCAGTAACGAGACAAACGATGTAGGAGGGATGGGAGGAGGAACGCTAAGCATCGGAATAAGCTCCAGCCCTGGACACTGGACACGGTTTCGAACGCATCCAGCTCTCGACCGAGACACGAGACGGGCCCAAGTTAAAGTGGAAACGAAACCAACGCTTCTTATACTTAGGGTGTTGCTGCATGGGATGGCCCGTTGGACGCTCCAACTCCTGTTGAGGCGTCAGCCCCTTCTCGGGGCGCTGGTCGGGTCGGAGACGCTCGTGCCTTTCCCGGGGAAAGAAAATTACCTCGGTCAGGAGTGCTGCAGCACATTCGTGGACCCC